CCAACACCGGCCTGACCGCGAGTCGTGATATCGACGCCTGTGTAGAACAGCTTCCATCCACTGAGGTTCAGGAGTCCAGAGCCTTGGCGATTCGTCGACGAGAGTCCAACAATCTCGAGTTGGTTCTTTATGGCCTCATCAACTAACTCTTGTTCTCTCCTTCTGAGTGAGGATATGTTCCAATTTCTTACTACCGTCCCTCCCACCTCCTCCCCCCCCCCACCAACTTCCTGCTAGAAGGCGATGTGCAGGTTCTGATCGCTGAAATGTCGTAGAGTGCCTTAGTCCCCCATCAGCCTTCGCGGCCTTTGGTAATCCGGGCGACGACCGAGTCGATATAATATTTGATGACGGCAAAACCATGAGGGGCAGGTGGATAAATTTTACGGAGACTTTGGCACGGTTACCACCCATCGTTCGAGTTTGGAACAGGCAAGCCGAAGATCGTCGTAACGATTAGCAAAGCAGTTGTGATAATACCTTTGGATCATGCGATCTGTAAGTCGAGCAAAAAATAAGGGCTGGAGATATGAAACAGAATACAAAGTGGAGAAGAAGTTTTTGCGCACTGGCCCGCATATATGACAGCGTGTATAGAGGAAAAGGCGTAAGGCTTTCTCGTTCTCATGAAATTTGCGGTCTCCAGCTGGAGGAGCAGTGGAACAGGTGGAGAACTTCACGTACCTCTAAATCGTGTTTATTGGTGAGGGAAGGTGGGAGTAAGAGATCGACCAGCGAATACGAATGGCCTGCGGTTTGCCGTGTGAACTAACCCAACCGTTATGACTAAAGCAGATAGCAGAGCCGACTCTGAAGACTAAGCTGTCAGCGTTCTAGTCGATCTTTAAATACACTTATGAGTTGTGGACCATGACTGAAAAATTTCGATTCCGGACACAGGGGGCTGAAATGGGCATCCTGAGAGGAATCGCTGCATTCACGCGCCTCGACCCTGGTCTGGAGTACGGATATCCGAAACAGCCTGCGGGTACTGTTTCTGCTTCTCCAGATTGAAAAGTCACAGCTGCGATCGTTTGGGAAATTTTGTGAATGCTTCTAAAAGGGAATGCAAAGCAACTAGTAATTGCTCCACCAACCGGCCTGAAATTCAAGAATGTCCTGGGGAACTTGCTTCGAATGACTCTGCTCCGAACTCAAGTTATCGTCTGCCAAAGCTGAAGCGCTGACAAAGGATTACGAACGTTGGGAATACTTCCTGGTCATACTGAGACCCGAAAAGATGAACGGTAATCGAAATTGACTGACTCTCTAACATATGTTTATAACACAGGT